GGTTTAGGGTTTAGGGTTTAGGGTTTAGGGTTTAGGGTTTAGGGTTTAGGGTTTGGGGTGTACATGCAGATGGCGTTTAATTATTCAAAAGTGCAGCAAATGGAGAAAAAGTTCAGAGAAGCGCAGGCAATCTGGGAAGCGCGAAGAAGGGGCTTTCTACCTAATGTACGCTGCTGCTGCTGCTGTTGATTGTGCTGCTGCTGCTGATTGTGCTGCTGCTGTTGATTGTGCTGCTGCTGTTGATTGTGCTGCTGCTGTTGATTGTGCCGCTGCCGATTTTGCTGCTGCTGCTGGTTGTGCGGCTGTTGCATTTGCTGCTGCTGTTGCATTTGCTGCTGCTGCTGCATTTGCTGCTGCTGCTGCATTTGCTGCTGCTGTTGCATTTGCTGCTGCTGCTGCATGCAGGCATTTAATCCTTACGTGGGGTCTTCCCCTGGGTGGCGGGCTGAAGATGCTGCAGCAGCAGCAGCAAACTGGAGTGCACAGACACCGCAAGGGGGCCTACCTGCTGCACCCTCTCCTAACGAGCTGCTGAAAGAATAGAACAGCAGCAACAGCAGCAGCAGCCGCAGCGAGAGCAGCAGCAGCTGCAGCGACAGAACCGCCTTAGAACCAGCAGCAGCAGCTGCTGCAGCTCAAGAACCCAGCAGCAGCAGCAGAAGCACAAACAGCAGCAGCAGCGGCTTTGTTTATCTCGCGGCAGCGCTGTTCTTTCGTCTGCTTCTGCAGCAGCAGCAGCAGCAGTGTGGCCCCCGTAGGTGCTGCTGCTGCAGCAGCTGCTGCAACTGCAGCTGCGTGTATAGCTGCTGCTGCAGTTGCAGCTGCTGCAGTTGCTGCTGGGGCATGGGCCGAACTTATTTGTCTGTTTGAGTGCTACAGAAACAACAGCAGCAGCATTTGCTGCAACAGCAGCAACACTAGCAGCAGCAACAGCAGCATTAGGTGCACCACTAGCAGCAGCAGCACTAGGAGCAGCAGCAGCACTAGATGCAGCAGCAGCAGCACTAGATGCAGCAGCAGCAGCACTAGATGCAGCAGCAGCAGCATAGGGTCCTACTGCTGTTTTATTTTACTCTCTGTGCGTATGTTGTTTTGCTGCCCTGCTACTGCTGCTGTTTCTGCTGCTGCTTTTGTTGCTGCTGCTTCTGTTGCTGCTGCTGCTTCTGCTGCTGCTGCTGCACTGAAGTCATAGCGAGCAGCAAGAGAGAAAATAATAATGCCTTTAAAACTTCCACGCCTGTAATTATAATACTGTTGCTGCTGCTGCTGCAGCAGCCGCAGCAGCAGCATTACCTGCAGCAGCTTCAGCACTAGCTGAAGCAGCAGCAGCACCACTGCAGCATCAGCATTAGCTGTGTATACACCGCAGCAGCTGCTAAACCCCAAACACTAACAGCAGCAGCAGCAGCAGCAGAAGCCGTTGTCACCTCTGCCTCCGCGCTGCAGCGGCAGCTGCAGCAACAGCAGCAACAGCAGCAGCAACAGCAGCAGCCTCTGCCGCTACCGCTGCAGCATTCGCCGCCGGAGCAGCAAGTGCAACAGCAACTGCAGCAGCAGCAGCAGCAGCAGCAGAATAGAGATATTTGAGTATTATAATGCTGCAGCAAAGAGAGGCAGGGCTCCGTGCTGCAGACAATCAGCAGCAATTGAATGCGTCAGGGTTTGTTTCTTCTCTTCATTAAATAAACCGTCAAACAAATCCTTACCTATTCAACCAAACAAACAAATAATAAAAATATAATTATAATCATAATCATAATTACAGTTTAAAAGCCCTTCTTTTTTTATGCTTTATATTCAAAATGAAAGCCGACAACGCAGATACTTCACCAGATAACCAACAGCTAGGGTTTAGGGTTTAGGGTTTAGGGTTAAGGGTTTAGGGTTTATCCGTTTAATAGGCTAGAAAGCTAATTAGGGTTTAGGGTTTATATCGAAGCAGTGAATTTAAACAGTTGATATGCAAGGAAGCAAATAGCTTAGGGTTTAGGGTTTAGGGTTTAGGGTTTAGGGTTTAAAACGCACCAGTGAATTTAAGCAGTTGATAAGCAAGGAAGCAAACAGCTTTTCTGAAAGATGACAGCTCTGTCCATGTACTTTGAACAAAAAGCAGCGAATGTTCTTCTGCTGTTTGTTTTTTTATATTAATTAAACTTAAACTAAAATTTATATCGAACACCCCGACGCATACTTCCATGTTGCGACGCGAAGAAAATCTGTACAAATAAGCAATTAATTAATTAATTAATTAATTAATTAATTAATTATTTATTTATTTATTTATTTATTTATTTATTTATTTATTTATTTATTTATTTATTTAATTAACAGATATAGGTATTTAAATAACTACATTAAAAAATAAATAAATAAATAAAAGCATATAAATACATAAACATATCTATTTAAAAAATAAATAACAAATAAATAAATAAATAAATATAAATATATATATATATATAAATATATATATAAATATATATATAATAGAAAGAGAGAAATAAATAAATAAATAAATAAATAAATAAATAAATAAAAATATTTAAATAAATAAATAAATGCATACATAATAAACAGTGTGAATAAATAAAAAGATTTAAATAAATAAATAAAAATATAATAAATAACAACCAAAATAATTTATTATATTATTCAATAAATAAATAATAAAATAAAATAAAATAAAATAAACAGATAAAGTAAATACAAAAAGAAACAAAGAGAAACGAAGTGAAAGAAAGAAACAGACAGATCAGCAGCAGCAGCAGCAGCAGCATCAGCAGCACCATCACCAGCAGCAGCAGCAGCATCAGCAGCACCATCACCAGCAGCAGCACCAGCATCAGTACCAGCATCAGCACCAGCGTCAGCATCTGCAGCAGCAGGAGCATCAGCAGCAGCATCAGCAGCAGCAGCAACAACAGCAGCAGCAGCAACAACAGCAGCAGCAGCAGGAGTGTGTAAATTGGGGTGTATAGGGACCTATCGAAGTTGAAGGAGCCAACAGAAGCCCAAAGTTTATCTACAATTAAATTTTTAGAGTGATAATGTCTTCGCTTAGTAAAATATATATTTAAGCTTCCGTCTACTTGCTGCTGCGTCTCTCCTCCCCGCAGCAGCAGCAGCAACCGCAGCAAACTCCCCACACGCCACTCCCTTGAAGGCCATGCTTCCTCTTGCTGCTGCTGCTGCTGCTGCTGCTGCTGCTGCTGCATGCTGAAGGGAGACAAGTGTCGCAGTCGAGAGAGCAGCGCCCACGGAGGATTGAAAACTGATATAGGCCCTTCTGCTGCTGCTGCTGCTCCTGCTCCTGCTCCTGTTGCTGCTTCTGCTGCTGTTGCTGATTTACCCTCCTCAGCCCCTGCAAACTCCTGCTGCTGTTGCTGCTGCTGCTGTTGCTGCTCTAAGGTTGCTGCTCTCGTCCGCAGCAGCAGCCAATCCCGGAGGGGGTGCGAACGCTCACGCGCCAGCTGAAATGCACAGCAGCAGCAGCAGCAGCAGCAGCAAAAGCAAGAGAAACAGCTAGAATAGCAACAAAACCACCCCAGCACAGGTGCAGCAGCAGCTGCTGCTTCTGCAGCATACAATGTTTAACAAGAGCCCCCTCCTCTAGAGACACTCATAATCCTAAAACCCTAAACCCTAAACCCTAAACCCTAACCCTTAACCCCTAAAGCCTAAACCCCAAACCATAAACCCTAGCCCGTCAACTCTAAACCCTAAACC